CACACGTGTTTGTCATAACTCACGTGCACCACACTCCAAACCCGAATTTAAGTCCAACTTGGCAATTGGCACCACTCCCAGCGTTCTATGGATTTTTACAAACCAAAAATAGAATAACTTTTTAAAACACAACTATTAGATTTAATTATTTCTTCAATTAGAAACAGATATCATTCCATCTTATCACATTATATGTTACCTCCTGATCTGTAGCCTCTTCAGTACATCTCTCGTATTTTTATTTTGATTTTTTTTGTTCATATTGGTGATTTGGATGTCATCATATTTGGATCTTGATTTTTTGTTTTTTGTTTTTGTATTTTTTAAACCTTTAATCCTATTGTAAAGTTATACGTAATCAAACATCAATAATGGTAATCATTCCAATTCCACTTTACAATCAAATATGTAAAATATTTTCACAAAAACACCTTACCATTATCAAGTATTTGATTCTCATTTCAATTTCAATTTACATATACGAACCAAACACACTATAAATCTTTCTCTAAAGAGGAAACAATATTAAGTGTGTAGAATGAATGAGAAGCTTAAAATGAGGCTAACATAACGTGTGAACCAAACACACCTTAAATTTCTTTAATTTTTTGAAATACTCATGATTTATTATAAGATAATATATGTTCTATACTTTCTCAAATATTTTGAGCCTAAAAAATCTAACACCCTACCATCGGGATTCAAACCTATGACCACTCATTTAGAATGGTAATCGGGATACTAGCACATTGCATGGTAGTTGGCTCAAAAAATGTATCTACCCTCACCAAAATTTCTTTAAAAAAAATATGAGTGGGGGTTTAAATCTATTGATCTAAATTTAGTCAACTTTAAAATATCAACAACTAAAAAATTATCACATAGATAGTTGGCAAATAAAAGTGAAAATGTAAGTATTAAAAACTCTCATGTTTTAATATTGATGAATTAATCAAATTTAGTGTAAATTAACATGGCATGCAATAAGTACAATTGTACGTGTGCACAATCCGTTTTTGTGAGTGAATATTGTAACTATAAAAATAATTACATTAAAGAACTACAAGGACACAACAACTAATTAATTGTTCTGGAAAGTATTTTCCCTACTTTTTTTGTTTCTAAAATAATCAATAAAACCAGACACATGATTATAGATTATAGTCCAACATATATAACTGTCCACAAACATATAGATAAAAATCTATTAAAAATTAAGACAATTGAATGTTAATGCAATTGAATCTTCGAGGCACTATCTCATAAACAAGTTCAATCTATTATGTAATTTTTTTTGAAAGGATCTATTATGTATTTTTTTTAATAATACAAGATACATATACTTATATAATAAATGATACTAATAACACAATTACATGTATATAAGTGTGGGTGCATGGCAGGGATACCTCACCCGCACTTGCGTGGATATAAAAAATTTCACCCACATTCCCTTGCTGATTACTCAAATCGTGCGAGTATTTTATTATCAATTTATCTATTTAATTATTGAGATGGAGATACGAGTAACTCATTGAATACGGATAGAATTGACATCTCTATATGGATTACTTTGTAACTAAGGAAAAAAAAAAAGAACAATCGTGACTTAACACCATGACAAAAAGGGATAAATTTAATATGTTGGCAAAAGTGAAATTAATTTTCAATCCTTGTAAATTATGCACAATTAAATTTTAATTTTTTTTTTTTTTTTTTTTTTACAAAGGAAGGGGGATACCCATTCAATCTATGCCTACACCGAGGCTAAAAACCTAGACCTCCCACATAAGGGAGCCATCCGATACCAGTGGACCACAATCCTCCAATCGACTTGCTTTTCGCAAGCAAGATCATGGTTGACTTGAAAGAGATGACTTTTTAATATATTATTATCGTTATGTTCAGAGTGGAGCATAATTATACTATTTCATCAAACACTGAAACCTAATTGAACAACATTGAATGTTCAAAGTATTAATTACTAATGTTTTTTCATTGGAAGACATACCGAATTCCAATAGGGCCAATTTGCATTGTTTGGTAGGTTGATTGGTGATAGCTTTTAGAAGGATACTTAGAGCATTCACTATAGTAGTTATTTTAGAATTATTGTCAGATGAATTCTCTTAAGCCAAGGAGCATAGCTGATATGGGAATGGGTTAATTCAAAAAGATTACTCCTGCAGAGTAAGGGCCACCAAGTGTACGTCCTTCATCACCTAATTACTTTTTCTTTCCGTTTTTTTTTTTTTTTTTTTTTTTTTTGGAAAGCTTTTCGTTTCTGTTTGTTTATTCACAATTTCACATTCAGCTTCGTTTTTTGTTTTTAACATTTAATTTGTTTTTTATTGTTTTAATTTATTTTAGGGAAAATGGCACTTTTTACCCCAGAGTTATATACTTATAGCACTTTTTCCCCCTCAATTATTTAGGTAAGCACATTAGCCCCCTCAATTATTCTAAAAGTGGTGCTTTTTCCCCCTGATATATTAAATTGACATTTATACCCTTAAAGTAAACATTTTATTTATTTTACTACTCCAACAAATTATTGCGTATACGTAGGGATGACCACGGTTCGATTTGAATTGAACCGGATACTAAAGCAATCGAATTAATAGTTTACGGTTATAATTCAGATCTAGAATCCAATATTTAAATATCAATTTTTATTAAAATTATGTATCAAAAAAATTGAATCTTGAACCGTGAACCGGTGGTTCCGGATCTGATTCGCGGTTTTAAACCGTCTTTATTTTAAAATTTTATTTTTTAATTTTAAAATAGTCTAAATTCAACAATAAATGTATTTTATTTTTACAGTTCGGAACATGAACCGTCCGTTCTGGTTCACAAATTTAATAAACTCTAAATATCGAATTTCGATTCTAAATTGTAATTGGAATATTTCGGTTTGGTTGCTATAGTGTTTGTTTAGTTTGAACCAAATTATGGTCATAATTTGTTGGAGAAAAAAATAAATTAAATATTTAGTTTAAGGGTAAATATGTCCATTTAACATTTCAGGGGGAAAAACAACCACTTTAATAATTTAGGGGGAAAAAATGCTATAGGTATATAACTCAGGGGGAAAAAGTGCCATTTTCCCTTTATTTTATAAAATACCAAATTTAATATTTTTGAATTAAATTTTGAATGATTATTTAATTAATTTTAAAATTTAAAATGATTAAAATAATAACAACGGAAATTAATTTAAATGTTTGTGAATTTTAAATTTTAAAATGATTATTTAATTAACTTTTTATTATTTTCTTTTTATTTTGTTTTACCATTCCATTTTGAATTCTCATTTTTACGCATATACAGTATGCATGTTTCACTATTTCTTATTAAAATTAAAATATAAATAAAATAGATAAAGAAATAATTAAAATATAGTGGGTTAAATGGTGGGTCCACAAATAACTCACAAAAAACTTAAAACTGATGTGGAGAAGAGTTTTTTGTGATTGAGTGAGATAATGGAGGATGAGGTGGATGCTAGGGCCCACAAATAACTCATAAATAACCCCAACTGATAAGGTTGCTCTTATTAGGAATTGCAAATAAGCACTATTTCGAGATAATCATCTACACTTAGTTTGTAAGTTGATTGACAAGGTAGGTTACTCTTGAGTCCTATTCCGGAAGGTAAAAGTAGCAATTTGCGATACAATCCATTAATATGTCATGAATTACGAAAATAATAAGTTCATGTTTATTTTTAAGTTTTAATATGTCTTGGATCATTAACAAGTTAACCATTAACTCATTAAAATTTGTGTATTAACGAATAAACTTGCATAATAATCCATTAAGAATTCGTTTATATTCACATTAGTTATGATTTTATATATTACTTGATCATTTTATGAATATTATGGTATGTTACAAATTAAATACCTTGTCTATTTTGGTGATTAATTATAGATTTAATAAAAAGAAATTTTAAAATTTTATTTTTCACCGTTTCATTCTAATTGGAACGTAGAATTACATTACCTATCAAATACAAGTAAAAAATTTATAAGGTAGGTAACATTATCCATTTAGTATGAGATCACATTAGCCCAAGAATATATACTCTCATCTTCTTTGATGTGCCTAAAAAGAAAGATGCAAATAATATTATGACCCTATATATGCCTTAGGGGAAACCCTAGTAAAATTTGATTCCTCACTTTCTTTTTAAAGCACCATCCATCAACTCACAACTGCAATCTACATACTTGTACCTAACCAACTTCAATATTGCATTTAATTTAGCTACAAAATAATTATTTCCTTCGTTTTATAACTCATATTTTCACATTGTCAAACTATATCTTAAATCTCATAAACTTGAATCAGATTTATAAAAAGATACCTCCAATATTCCTGACCTGAATTGAACAAAAATATTTCATATTGTATTTAATGAATATATAATAATATATAATTAACAAAGATAGGATATAGGGAAAAAGGTTATATATATAATACTTTACCTATAATAAACTTATTGGTGATTGCACTAAATTACATTCAAAATAATGCATGAGTCTTTTTTTTTAGTGTACCCAAAATTTTTAAATCGGTGATTAATGGTAGGCATCTATTTTGAGTGAGACAAAGCCAATGATTGAACCCTAACTTAACGTTTGATTAAGGATAGATAATTCTCTTCCACTCAACCATACCTCATGTTAATAATGGATGAGTTTAAATTAGTAGCAGATGTAACAATATTAAAAACGAAATTTGTATTTTATTATAGCCCATCATTTTCTCCCAGCATGTATGACTTCATCAATGTTTAAACAAATTATTTTTTTATTATCTATATTCCTCATTTTCTTATATACCTCGGCCGCCCAGAATAGCCACCCATATTGCTCCTCTCCCTTAAATAAATAAAAAACCATTATTTACCCTGATTTTCTAGCATGCTGAGTTTATTAAATATTTATAAATTGAGTATTTTTATTGCTAGTTAACTGTTAAAGTGGAAAGAATTTTTAAGAAGCATTAAAAAGAAAAGGAAGAAAATACTAACCACACACTGCAAACACCATCCAGAGAATCTCTCACACAAGAAACCGGAGTATTTAACCAAGAAACAAACAGTAAGAACTGAGAGGAAATTACAGGAAAAAAGAAAGAAAGAAAGAAAGAAATCTGATTGGTTCAAGGCTAGCTATCATCATTCATCAAAAGCTAAGATATCATCATCTTCTTCTTCTTCTTCTTCTTCTTCAAGTACTCATCATCAAGAAACATATCTTTCACCTACAGGGATATATACTCGATCACTGTACGTTTGGTTTGTGTGTTGGGAGTATGAGTACTGTTGAAGACTCTCTGAGATCTCTGTCGTTGGACTACCTGAATCTGCTGATCAACGGCCAGGCTTTCAGCGACGTAACCTTCAGTGTGGAGGGGCGGTTGGTTCATGCCCACAGGTGTATCTTGGCGGCTAGGAGCCTGTTCTTCAGGAAATTCTTCTGTGGCCCGGATTCGCCGGGGTCTGACTCGCCGGGGTCTCGGATGGGGTTGGTTGGAGCGGGAGCGGGAGCGGCGTCGCCGAGGGGGTCGATTCCGCAGGTGATTCCGGTGAACTCGGTGGGGTACGAGGTGTTCTTGCTCATGATGCAGTTCTTGTACAGTGGACAGGTCTCGATTGTCCCGCAGAAACATGAACCCAGGCCTAATTGTCGGGAGAGAGGGTGTTGGCATACGCATTGCACCTCCGCCGTTGATCTCGCTCTCGACACTCTCTCCGCCGCTAGATCCTTTGGTGTTGAACAGCTCGCTTTACTCACCCAGGTTTTATTTTTATTTTTATTTTCTCCTTTATTATCGTTCATCAATATTTCTCCCTAGCCGCCCTTCTCAACTGTACAAGGTTGTCGGTGTTGGATTTTGGAATTTTTTTTTTTCATCGGAGGGTTGTTAACTTGTTATTTGTTAAGGTTAAACATGATATGATCTCAGAGAAATCTGGGTAAATTCATTTTTTTTTTTGACTAAATTTCATCTATTATTATTCAAGATTTTGTTTACATAATTTAGCTACAGACACCCCCACTTTCCTTGTTTCTATTTTCTTGATGACAATAATCTGTATATATATAGTGTCCCTCACTCATGACAGTATATGTTTGATTTTATGTAACATCCTCAGTTTCTTGATTTGGATTCACCTTCCAAACTCAAAACTTTTCCAAATTGGGAGAATGATATATATGATCTCTCTCTCTCTCTCTCTATTCAGTAGTCTCCAGTCTTGTCTTTCCACAGTGATCACAATCACCCATTAACTCAATGCAAAAACTTTCGAAAACTGTCAGATCAAATTATATATATACATTAATTGTATTATATATATTGTTGCAGAAGCAACTTGCAAGCATGGTGGAGAAGGCTTCAATTGAGGATGTGATGAGAGTGTTGATAGCTTCTGGGAAGCAAGAAATGCAGCAGCTATGGACGACGTGTTCACATTTGGTAGCCAAATCAGGGCTCCCGCCGGAAGTTCTAGCCAAGCATCTTCCCATCGACGTCGTCGCCAAAATTGAGGAGCTCCGCCACAAGTCCTCCCTTGCTCGGAGCTCCCTGTTGGCGCACCACCATCACCGCCATGACCTCGGCGCCGCCGCCGATCTAGAGGACCAGAAGATCCGGCGGATGCGGCGGGCGCTGGACTCGTCGGACGTGGAGCTAGTGAAGCTGATGGTGATGGGAGAAGGGCTGAATCTTGACGAAGCGTTGGCTTTGCATTACGCGGTGGAGAATTGTAGCCGTGAAGTTGTGAAGGCGCTTCTTGAGCTCGGCGCCGCCGATGTTAATTACCCGGCCGGGGCTGCCGGGAGGACCCCGCTTCACATTGCCGCTGAAATGGTGTCGCCGGACATGGTTTCGGTTCTCTTAGATCACCACGCCGACCCCAACGTTAGGACCGCCGACGGCATCACTCCGTTGGACATTCTCCGAACCCTAACTTCAGATTTTCTCTTCAAAGGTGCTATCCCCGGGTTAGCCCACATCGAGCCAAACAAGCTCCGCCTGTGCCTCGAGCTCGTCCAATCCGCCGCCATGGTCATCTCCCGCGAAGAAGGTAACACAAACCTTAATAAAATAAAAAAACGGTTACCACTTTAACCAAAAAAACACACAAATTAGGACAACATAGGTTGATCGCACTATTAATTTGGTAATTAAATGTTATAAGTTAGACTCTCAAAAGACTGAGATTTGAGTACTATGAGTAATTTAGGCTAGTTTGTTTTATGACTAGATCATAGGACAGAGTTTATTCAGTGCACAGTAATTGCCATTTCTCTGGTCACTAAAGAAACACAAATTTACTATTTGATATTCATATTAATTATATTGAACAGGCAATGCAGCGGCGAACAACAACTCATCCTCCGCCGTGATATACCCGGCGGCATTGGCAATGAGCGAAGAGCATCACCACCGCAATATTCCCAGCTCCGGGGGCAGTGGAAACATCGTCAACCTTAACCTGGATTCAAGACTGGTGTACCTAAACCTGGGAGCAGTCGAAAATAGCGGCGGCGGCGGGCATCACAACCAGAGAGAAGCCATGACTACTCGACAAAATAGCGGCGACCCTCCATCAATGTACCACCATTCTCATGAGTATTAACTAAATTACCTTACTTTCTCCATCCATATATCACTACGTTTAATTTATTCTCCGGCAGCCATAATTCAAAATCTTTTTGCCTGCCTACAAATATATATATAGCAACGCCGCAGGGAACAAAATCAATTCAAGTACATATATATAATTAGCATTAAATTAAAACTGGAGATCCAAAATTTTCATATAATAATCATTATATATAATATTTTTTATTCTTGGGTGGGTTATATTTATTTATTTATTTAAATATAAAAATAAAAATTGGAGTGATAATGCTGCGGAAGGGAAGGCAGTGGGCAATAATTAATAAGAAGATAGTGGCGGTGGAAGTTGGAATGATGTTAGTCCAACATCAACATGGGATAGATGGGACAAGGTAAGCAGAATCCGAGTCTTGCTCTGATCTTTGGGAATAATGCATGCACCTCAATCTTTTTTTTTTTTTTTTTTTTTTTTTTTTTTTTTTTTAAATTACAGTTTAATTTATTATTTAATAACCTTGTCAGCTACTTTTTTTTTGTTTGTTTTTTTTACAAAAAAAATATATTACATTTTACTTCAATATTTATCCGGTAAATTAAATTCAACGTTTATAGCATTTACTGTAATTTTAAAAAAAAATATTTTTATTAATTAATACAAGATTAAAATTTACAATAATTAACTTATTTTTACGTGCGTATGTATACAGACATGACAATATATATTACAGCACATGTATATATTTGAAATACAGTTGTTAGTTAATTAAATAATAATGAAAAACATATTTATTTTCATAAATATAAATATTTTTTTAATGCGATGATTAGTTGATGATTCATGGAACCAGAATATTTAATATATGGAATGGATGTTTTTGGTTTGTTGCGCTAGTGGGCGCTCTCTTTGGTTCCGTTTTGAGACCCTTCGATCTTGTTTGGGGCATAACACCTTTTAATATATATATATATATATATATATATATATATATATATATATATATATATATATTTTTTTTTTTTTTCTATCAACATTTAAAATACACAATTAATTTCTATACTATTTTACATACAAAAATTTAATAATATATGTTACTAACACAATTAAGACTCAAATTAAATTTGAATAGTTGGGTTTCATGAATAAAATGACAAGAACGCCATTGTGTTTGTGTATATGTAAGTGCTGGTTTTAATATAATTATATAATAAGGGAAATGAGCTGGCTTCATCTCCTTTATTTTCTTAATTTTTATTTCTTATTTATTTTGAGTATGTTTTGTTTTGTAATATATATGTAGCCGTGTGGTGAGACAAATTATTGTGTGTGAATCATAACAAAAAGTACATTTTTAACATATTAAAAGTATATTAGTCGTGTATTGAAGGTACAATATACAAAATAAAGTACTTACACTTTTTAAATAATATATTTTTTCTGAATATAATATACATTTTTAATATATTAAAAATACATTATTTGTGTATTGAATGTATATTATTAGATTGTATGGTTCACACAATTATGATTGATGTGGTGACTAATGAGATATAGCATTTGGTAGTTGGTAAGTAATTATTAGTGCAAAAGAAATTAAACATATAGTCCGTATAATAGAGGAATGGTGTGATGATGATGTTGGGTTTAGGAAAATTGCATGGATGCAACAATGAGTGCGACCGCAAACCTAATATGGCATAGTAACATACATAGTATTATGTGGCTGTTATCTTTCTGGTGCCTGTTCCCCCACTATATATCCCTCATCTTAACTATGAAAACAACCCCATATATATATATATATATATATATATATATATATATATATATATATATATATATATATATATATATATATAGAGCAAATTACACTTTTGGTCCTGTGACTATTGGGGGTGTGTTAATTTGAGTACGTGATTTTTAAAACTAACAATTTAGTCCTTTAACTATCATTTTTTTAGCAGATTTGGTCCTCCAGGCTAAATTGCCGGTGGAATTTGGCCGGAAAGACGTTCGAATTTTTAAATTAAACGCTATTTTTTTTTACAATTAAAAAGACCGAATTACCCCCACTAATATTTGATTTAAAAATTCGAATGTCTTTCCGGCCAAATTCCACCGGCAATTTGGCCAGGAGGACCAAATCTGCTAAAAAAATGATAGTTAAAGGACTAAATTATTAATTTTAAAAGTCACGTACCCAAATTGACACACCCCTAATAGTCACAGGACCAAAAGTGTAATTTGCTCTATATATATATATATATATATATATATATATATATATATATATATACACATGTATGTGCATAAACATTTGATTCATAGTAGCTTGCAAGGAAGACCCGTGCAAATCGGGGTAATTCTGGTATTAGAATGCTAGGGTAATTTCAGTTAAATTGGTCAAATAGTTGGTTTTGTAATCACAAGCTAAGGTTCAAAGTTCGATTCTTTATCTGCATGACAATTGTCGATTGGTTTTCTTGGTTTGAGTCAGTCGATTATGGACAATTTTAGATTGATTTACTTATTTGTAATCATATGTTATCTAGGGTTACAAGCCGAAGAGCACACATTCGAGTAGTAGTTGTAGACTTTTTCCAAAAATCAAAGTATTAAAGTCATTGGGATCAGAGAAGAAAAGTATTAGAATCATGCTCTACTTATTTTCGAGCGATCTACACATATTTTGTCCATGGGAATGTGAGACCTCCTTAAAAGATGTGGCATCAAATAGTGATCGTAGATTTTTTTTCTAGATTAACTCAAACCTCCCTTCTTTTGTTGTTGTTCCCAAACTACACATATGTTGTTCCATTATTTTCTACTACTTTTATGCGTTTCTCGTAGAGCTGTCGAAACATGAAGGCGGGGCAGGCTAAAAAGCCCATCAAAATACGGGTCTAAGGGAAGTCACCCTGCCCCGCCTTAAGCCCGTGGCCTTGGTGGGGGCTTGCTAAATTTTAAAAATTTTAAATTTAATTAAAAATTAATATAAAAAAAGATAATAAGTGTATACTAAAATAATGTTGATAGTTTAGACATATATTAATGCATTTGTAAATTTTTAAACACAATAATAACTAATAAATATTCAAATACATAATATGTTAATTCATAAGTCAATAACAAATCATTTATATAGTGTACTATATATATATATATATATATATATATATATATATATATATATATATATATATATATATATATATATATATTAGTATTGTCCCGTGCGATGCACGGACTAAATATTAAAGATTTGTTTGTAATGTTAGAATAGGTAAAAAAAATGTTTTTAATAATGGTATTTGAAGTACAAAAGAAGAAAACATGAACCACAATTTAATTGTTTAAAATTACATTTTTATTAAGTATATGACAAAATAATTATGATATTGTATTTACAATATTTAATTTAATAATTGAAAATAGTATGATACAAAAAGTTACTATTATTAATCGCAGCTAGCGGTATACATATTTGATCTTGAGTTTGTCTACTCCTAGTATGCTACCCATGCGATGCACGGAATGAATATTGGACAACATTATAATAATATTATTTATTAAAAAATACATACATATATATATATATATATATATATATATATATATATATATATATATATATATATATATATATATATATATATATATATATATACACACACACACACACACACACACACCATATAGTCTTGTGAAAATTAAATGTTGTTAATACCAACATTTCGCCATTAATATCAACATTTAATTTTCACAAGACCATATGACTTTATTATAATGGAATAAGGTTCAAATTGGCCACTGAACGTAACCTGAAAATGCAATTAGGCCACTGAACGAAAAAAAAAGGTGCAATTAGGCCATTGAACACTCAAAAAATGTGCAATTAGGCCACTGAACTCTCCAAACGTATGCAATTTTACCGGATAATTTTTAAATAAATTTTAATAATAAATTTTAATAATAAATTTTATAAAAAATTAGAAAAAATTAAATAAAAATAAAATAAAGTCGTTTTTATTTTTTTTAAAAAAAAATTTTAATAAAAAGTTATTATTAAAATTTATTAAAAATTAATTAAAATTTATTAAAAATGCTAACTCAGCTGCCACGTAAGCAGATAACCTGCTAAAATTTAGGGTAACCTGCTATCAAGTGAAATTGCACATTTTTGGAGTGTTCAGTGGCCTAATTGCACTTTTTTTTTTTCGTTCAGTGACCTATTTAAACCTTATTCCTATTATAATTAAGATATGGCTTTGCAGGCCCCCACTAAGCCCGCAGGTTAGGGGGCGGGCTAAACAACCTAGCAAAATACAGGCCCAAGATATCAAAACTCGGCCCATCCTTTTCACGGGGTAAAAGGGACTAAGCCTGTTTTGACGACTCTACTTTATTATATGCCTAAAACCATAATTAACAAGTGAAACATTCATTATCTTCCATCACTTTTCATTAGAATTCAAGTAAAAGTTCTTAAAAGCTCGCAGTAATATCCATTGAGATACAAATTTGGTGAGTAAAGGTTAACAATAATACAAATTTGGTGATGATTGGGCTGTATATTTGGTCAATGGCCGAATAGGTTTGTCTAGTCTTCTGGATTATTATTGGGCCGGGATGCCCATCTTTATGGACTGCATAGCGGGCATTCTTGGGCTGTATGGATCGATGAAAATGCTAATCAAGTTCACGATTTTTTGTTCTTTCGCAAATTATAATGTGAACTAGGTCTATCATGCTCACTGTGAATGCTGGTATAATATACCTATATTTAACATATTATGTATATTTAGTTATTAGATTATGTACATAATTAAATAAAAATATAATACTGAATAAATTTTATTACATCATACATAATTCTCATGAATTGACGAAAAATACTATTTCTACTTCCAATTTTTACTTCCTCTCAAAAATGTTGATGTTGATATTTTCTTTAGGACCCACAAGATAAAGATACTAAGGGTGTGTTTGGTTCATGAGTTTAGCTATTAGGAATGAGA